ACAACTTAGGTTTCAAGTTTTTTTTCTTAATTTCTAATTCTTTATCCACACAAATACAGTTTTCTCCCCCCTATCAAGCAGACAAGCCCTTTTTTTCTTCAATTTATCAAGTTATGTTAATACATTTTATATTTGTATTCTTTTATTTTGAAAGTTTAAGGTTAAATTATAGATTAAGATTTAGGAAGATGAAATTGCCATTGGGATCACAAATTTTACCCATATTTTTATAATGTCCTAGATATGTAGCTTCAAGAGTTGAATAATCATTTCAATGAGGTAAACATTAAATTGCTTATTTATTTGGAATGTCCAAATGAATCATTTGTTGTTTTTGATAAACAAAAATTTATGCATATTGCCGAACTTTATCCAGAAGGTTTTTTCAACTTAGAACTCATGGCACTTAATTCTCAATTTGATATTTATATTTTGGATATGTACTCTAATGTCAAACTTATGGGATTGAAAGAGATTAAAGATCTTGTAAAAATGATGGTTAAAACTAAGAATGATAGAATGTTTCCATTAGTATATTTGTTGGTGAAATTAGCATTGACTCTACCCATTGCCACTGTTAGAATAGAGAGAGCATTTTGAAGAATGAATTTTGTGAAGAATCATTTGCAAAATAGAATGAGTGGCAAAATAGAATGAGTGATCAATGGTTGAGCGATAGTTTAGTTGTGTATATAGAGAAAGATGTAATTGATAGTATTGATAATGAAATTATTATACAATACTTTCAAAAGATGAAATCATGTCAAGAATAATTATAAATGTATTAGTTGATGAAAATTTTATAAATACAAAACTTATGCTTATTTTAATTCAATTGTATTGTTCTTCCAACTTTGACCCGCCACATTTCATTTCCGGCTACGTCCTTGACCATGGTGTATTCTATTATTTCTGAAACCTAAAGGGGGAAATTTATTTGAGAAAAGCTCAAGGGAAAGAATTAATAAATCCTTTTAATTAAATAGAGAAAATGAGGCAGTACATAAAGTCGGTTTTTATTACTCACCCCTTGAGAGATGAGAAAGTATTAAGCATCCCCATGGTTTTTGAAAAGTATTATATATTCTCATATAGGAGGGGTTAGATACTTTTTAGTTTTTAGGGAGGTAAATGATAGTTTTAAGGGGGTAAATAAAAATCTAAGGAGGTATATAGTACGTTTGCAAAATATAGGCTGTATTTATATTTCCTAATCTCTTAGGGGTTTGATGATAAAAACCTGTAAGTTCGTTGAGGTGTCTAAGTGAAGAAAGTGACTAATGTTAATTTAAAGTCAAAGGTGGAGTCTAATCAATGTTTTAATGAAAAAGATGGATACATAAATCCAAACTCACATTCGGTGTGTATATATAATGGGGTAAGTTTTACCCTCAGTTTCAGCCATTGGATCTTGCCCATAGGTTGACAAAAGACAAAATCTAATGGCTATAACCAGGGCTAACTATATTTTTCCTGCATGTATATTATGCCTTTATTAAGGCTTTTGATTATGTTATATAGAACTGACTTGGTCAGTTGGAACATGCTTAAGCTTAACTCATCAATTTATTTTAATATAATAACAATCCTTCCAAATTCATTTGATCTGGCATACTTGGTTACTTACCCACAATCCAATTTAGATTCATTTTTACCCATACAAAATGGAGAATTTATAATTTATGAAGCTACAATACAAAATTCTTTTATGGCATATTACTATGGGGCTGTTTGGATCGGGGGTATATAAGATAACGGGGGTAATCTTCGTTTATTTTGCAAGATTCTAGTATTTGGTTTGCAAGTAATAAAATATTAAGGTAATCTTTTATTGCAAATAGTGTTTACTGTTGGTAATGTACGGGATAATCTTATTACCTTGCTAGGGGGTGTTATTAAAACATTATCGATGTAATTTGATTTTTCTACTCATTTTGCCCTTAATTAAAAACAATTTCAGACACAATTGCCCTCAAATGTCTACCAATTAATAATTACCTAGCCCCTCTACATTTGAGAAATTAGCTAAAACTCCCCACCCCAAAAAAATTTAAAAGTTAACAAAATACCCCCAGCCACCCAAGACCACTAGTGGTCATGACTTACTACCACCGGCCATCAACGTTAATCTTCATAATGGTGCACGACCGGTGGGATCTGGCCAATCGTGCGCCATTAAGGCCTTTTTCCAGTCCATAACCAAAAACAGCTAGATTTGACATTTTTATGGCCATAGATCTGGCTATTTTCCGACCATGGATTTGTGATCCATGGCTATTTTTAGCTTTGCCAATGCACGGCCGACCATATACGGCTAGTCGTGTGCCATTCCGTCGACTGGTGACGGTGGTAGCTAGTTACCGGCAATGGCTTGGGGTGGGTGGGGGTGATTTTGCTACAAATTAAAGTTTTATATGGCTGGGGGGTTTTAGCAAAATTTCAAATGTAGGTGATTAAAAGAAATGATTCAAAAAATAATAATAAAAAAATACTATTATATTTATATTTAAAAAGAAGGGCAATTTTATAATCTATATAACATATCCACCCATTTATCCCTCCAACCAAACATATTATTCACCAATTTATTCGAACAAATCAAACATATTTTCTAAATATCCTTAATAATCTTCAATGTGATTTTTCTTTCTGTTAATATAATATTTCCCTATAATAAAACATATATGATTGAAACGCCCCTATATATTATAAAGTTTTAATGATGCAAATACAATAAAATCTATGTGAATTTCATCTATTTAAAGTAATGTGACATTTAACTGCCAAATTCAAGTTTATGTCAAGAGTAATTTTTGCACCAAATTTACTAAAAAGGAAATGCCAAAAAATTATGCACCAAACACAACACAGTACCTACCAAATTTCGGAGCTAGCGTCACACATCAACAACACTTTTTTGGTTAGAGCTACGTTGAATTAGGTAATTTTTGCATTAACTCTATACGCTATTTTAATTCCTTTATAACTTTCTCCACCATAGCCAAATTCATATATTCAATGAAATATAAATATTACCCTATTAAACTTGGTTTATTTAGTATTTATTATGTACACCACTTAAAAAGAGAATCCACAATTACCTCTAGGTAGCTAAACGGTTTGATAGAAACTCTTTGATGTATTACTTAAGAGGGAGTCCCTCCTTGGGTGCTAATAGAGGTAATCATTAGAGCTCTTATCCGGTCGGTCGTTCTAGGGTCCAGAGGAAATAGTTAAAGTGTATGTAAGTTGGTTCGGACATTCTTGATCATAAAAAAAAAAAAAAAAAAAAAAGAATCCACAATATATAATATTAATCTTATAAAATTTTTAAAAATTAAGAAGTTGTCAAGTTATTAAAAATAAATACCACTAATTTATTTTCTAAAAGTAATTGAATTGTGCTAATGAATAAGAATTTGTATTAAAAATTTGTTTAAGAGTTATTAATTGGGATATATGATGTTAATGTCCTAAATTATGGAAATTCTATTATACAGCGCATTTTTGGTTCTCAGTTAAAGAATAGTTTATTTCTGAATGTCTCTTGGAAAATAGTTTTATTCTAAAATTTCAACATCCATCGGACCATATCACCCTTTCTTAACTAAAAACTCAAGTTGCGTTTGGTTCGGGGTGATATAAGATTAATTTTGTAATCTTTGTTTAATTTTCAAGATTCATTCGTTTGGTTGTCAAGTAATAAAATATTAGGTAATCTTTTATTGCAAATAGTATTTACTATTGGTAATATTAGGGATAATCAGATTACCTTCCCAAAGGGTGTTAATATAAGATTACCGAGGTAATCTTAATTTTGACCCTGTTTTGCCCTTAATCTTTTATCATTTAGGACACATTTGTCCTCATATATCTACCAAATAACAATACTGACCCCCTTACATTTGAAAATATAGCTAAAACACCATAGCCACAAAAAGTTTAAAAGTTAACAAAATACCCCCAATCACCCAAGATCACCGTCGACCACTAGCCACCACCGTTGGCCGTCGGTGAAAATCATCATATTGGGGCAAGATCAACAAAATCTTGCCAGTTGTGTGCCGGTAAGGACGTTTTCGGCCATGGATTTGTGATCCATGGTCGGAAACGACCAGATCTGGCTGTGAAACGCCATAGATATGGCTGTGAAAAGGCTAGATCTTTGGCTGTAAAATGGTCATCGTTTCATGGCCACATCTTTGACTGTGAAACGGCCATATTCACGACCAGATCTAACTGTTAGATCCATGGCTGGATTAGGCCTTATCGGCGCATGACCAACCAGATTTAACCGATCGTGGGCTTTTATAGCAGTTGCCAATGATGGTGGCTAGTTGTCGGCAGTGGCTTGGGGTGGGTGGGGGTAATTTTGCTATAAATTAAAATTTTATATGGCTAGCGTGTTTTAGCAAAATTTCAAATGTAAGGGGTTAAAAAAATTTAAAAATAATAAAATTAAATAAAATTATTTTATTATTTAAAAAGGAAGGCAATTAGTAATCTACGTAACATGCCTATTCATTTATCCTCTTAATCAAGCATATTATTATAATAATATATCTATTGATTTATTCCAACCAACTATATACATTTATCTAAAAATTTCTTAGTAATCTGTCTTTCTTATAAATGTCTTTCCAATAATACAATATTTCTGTGGGATAAAACTTCATTGAACTACGCGCACACTCAAGGTAATCAATAACCAAACTATAGTCATTTATTGGAGGAACTAATAGCTTCCGATACACTTTGGATTTTTAGATTAAAAAAAAAAAAGGAGTAATTTATCTAGTGATTGCTAAAATTTTAAAATATGATTACTTTTCCAGAGACTTTTAAAACTGTACTATTTTTCAATTTAAAAAAAAGGTTATTTAATATAATTTTTCCTAAAATTATAAAAATAAAGTTTTTATCAAATTAGGTAAATTGACTTATAATTAAGAAATTATTATTAAAATGAAAGAGCATCTGAATAGAATGAAAATTTTCCATATAAATAAGATAACAAATTATTAGTTAATAAAACAAACAGAGAACAAGCTCTCTCTCATTCTAATAGGAAGTGACACGATCAGTGTTGTTGGTTGATACATTTCCATTTCATTTCATTTCATTTTCAGGTCTCTCTTTCTCTCTCACTCAATAATAAAAATCATCTTCTTAATTATTAATTACTCTCAGATCTAGGGTTTATTTTTTCTTTTAAATTCCCCAATTTCAACCAAATCTTGATTTAATTCTCACTTATCCTTCAATTTATGTTAAATCTCAGTTGAGCTGTTTCGAAGCCTTCCAATTCCGCGCTAAATGAGGTAAGCATTTCTAATCTTGACCCTCTACGTGCTTGTGTTTCATACGTGTGTTTATGTATACGTGGTTGCGTTTTTTTGTAGATCCAGATCGAGCCAATAAAGAGAGAGAGAGAGAGAGAGAGAGAGAGAGAGAGAGAGAGAAAGAGAAAGAGAGAGAGAAGATGAGTGAAGGCCAGAGGTTCCAGTTGGGAACAATTGGAGCTTTGAGTTTGTCGGTGGTTTCATCTGTTTCCATTGTGATTTGCAACAAGGCGCTTATAAGCTCGCTCGGTTTCACTTTTGGTGAGCTTTTATTATTATTATTGTTATTGTCGATATTATAATTTTGTTGATCGTGTTGTTATTCATTATAATTAGCAGCTGTTAATTGAGTTGTTAGATCTAATTTAGTTTTTTTAAGAGTTTAGACTAATCTGTTGAAGAAAATGACAGTAAATATCTAGCATAATGGGACTATTGTTTTAGTTTTCAAACTTACAAAATTAAACTAAACCCCTCTCACCTGCTGGGAGTGGGATTCGATTACGATGCCTTTTGTCAACTAAAATAGATCCAAGCAGCTGGACTAAGTATCTTGTAGTTATTGAGAAATCTTTTTGAAATGATTTAGTAGAATGTACTTGTATTGTGTTAAACGCTGAATGGTTGAGTTTTTCCTCTTTCCTTTGATTTAGTCCATGGAGTGATAAATTACAATGTGTCAGGCCCGCATGTAGCTGTTAGTAGTTTACCATATGTTTTCAACTGAGATCATCACTACTATCATCATTATTGCTCGATTCTGATTTATTAGCTATTACGTGATTATTTACTCTTGAGTACTTATGAATTGCAGCCACAACTTTGACTAGCTATTACGTGATTATTTACTCTTGAGTACTTATGAATTGCAGCCACAACTTTGACTAGCTGGCATCTTCTGGTTACATTTTGTTCTCTTCACGTGGCATTATGGATGAAATTGTTTGAGCACAAGCCTTTTGATCCTAGAGCTGTTATGGGATTTGGCATATTGAATGGAATATCCATTGGGCTTTTGAATCTTAGCTTGGGTTTCAATTCTGTTGGTTTCTACCAGGTAAAATTTCATTCTACAAGCTGACTTGTGATTTTGAATTTTGTCTTCACAACAATAAACATTATCAGTCTTATGATCTGTAACTAGTCTTATGATTATGTAACTTCATTAATTTTTCTTTAGAACCAATTATGCCAACAATGTTAATATTATTTTTGAGTCCTAGTGTAATAATTTGAAGTTTTTCAAAATACTGGTTCCTCAAATTGGTATCAGAGTTGGGTTGATCGAGAGGTTTTCTGTCTGCTTCCTTCATTCTATTAATTATTTTATGTTATAGAGCAATTTACCTTTACAGAATTAATGTGTTTCAATAGTGTACTAAAAAGCACCTTCTACTCTATTTTGAGTAAACACTACTGACCTCTCTTGAAGTTAGGTGGTAAATCTAGCAAATCCAGGTGGTTTGAAAATGTAAGAAACCTTTCTCGGAAATTATAAAAGTCATCAGAAGCCGTTGTAGAAAAATGTTAGGAGCCTCCTAGAAAATTTAAAAAAACCTCTATTGCTGGTGAGATTACCTACAAATTCTGATAGTTAATACTTTTGTTTAGTATTTTATAGTCTTTATTCTGGTTTTAGTTTCTGAAAAATTCTCGTTTTTTATTTGTCATTTAGATGACGAAACTTGCAATCATCCCCTGCACTGTTCTTTTGGAGACCATATTCTTCAGAAAGCAATTCAGGTATAGTATTTGATTATGAAACTCTATTTGTATGATAAAAAAAATTTATTCCTGTTTTCTTTTTATGCCAGTCTAAATGAAAGTACAGTTCCCTGCTCTGGTAAATGTTTCAGATTGGCCTCTCAAATAATTGCTTTCGAGGATAGATAATGCATCATATGCTTGAAGGCATTTGCTGGTAGACCCTTAGATCTTGGATAGGGGGAGAACATTCTTGGGTAGAGAGGTTACCTGGAAATGGAAAATTTTAAATATTTCAAGTGTGGTCCTATGATGATGTTAATACAATCTTGAATTAGTGAGTTGGAAGCTGTGGAAGTTTCCCTGTACCATTTGATAGCCTGCTTTAATGGGCTATTAGATGGTCTTCTAATTTTAGATCATATGGTTTGCTCTTGTATTGTTGTTGGGTTTAGTATGCTTGATTTCATCAGCATAAATTTGTTTCTATTATGGTTATGGTTTTTTCTTTTTCCATTGAAAAGCTGTCACTTTGTTAGCTCTAAATCTTTTCTTTCAGTTTGGTGAAACATGTCATTTATCGGGATTTCAATACTATTATATGAATATTAGGTGTGCTTGTTTTGCTTCCCTATGTTCATATTCAATTTCGATATATTCCTTTGATTAATTATTTAGCTAATTACAGCTATGTTTTAATACTACATTAAATAATTGCAGTCGGAGTATCCAGTTTTCACTAGCCATCCTTCTTGTGGGTGTTGGAATTGCAACCGTGACTGATCTTCAGCTTAATGTTCTGGGTTCTGTCATGTCGCTACTTGCAGTTATTACAACTTGTGTCGCTCAGATTGTATCCTCAGCTAAAGTGTCTTTCGCTATTTCTATGCTTTTTTTTTTTTAATGTTCTTACATGTTCGATGTTTACTAAATAGAATATAAATTGTTAATTGTTTTGCTGTAGGGCCAGATTAGTCTCCTATAGAATTTCTTTGGTTTGTTGAAATCTTAACTACTTTCTCTCAGATGACCAATACCATCCAGAAGAAGTTCAAAGTTTCTTCAACTCAACTTCTTTATCAGTCTTGCCCCTATCAGGCGATGACTTTGTTCATTGTTGGTCCATTTCTAGATGGGCTTTTGACCAACCAAAATGTGTTTGCTTTTAAATATACCCCTCAAGTGTTGGTGAGAATTAAATGTCTATCCTCTTTTTTTTCCTCTCTTTTTGTTTCTATTAATAACTTTTACATGCATCATCTTGGCTGCAGTTCTTCATTGTTCTATCCTGCCTGATATCTGTCTCCGTAAACTTCAGTACTTTTCTGGTCATTGGAAAGACATCTCCAGTGACCTATCAGGTCCTTGGACATCTGAAAACTTGTTTAGTTTTGGCATTTGGCTATGTACTACTTCATGATCCATTTAGCTGGCGGAACATTTTGGGAATCCTGATTGCTGTAGTTGGAATGGTACTTTATTCATATTGTTGCACTCTTGATAGCCAGCAGAAGGCTAATGAAGCAGCAACCCAATTGCCGCAGGTAGTGCACAATCTTTCTTTTGATATGTGTGTGTATAGATTTTGATAATATATGTTCATTTAATCTTTATTCCTATGATGTCATAGTATCATGTGGATGAATTTAAAAAGAAAATATTTACTGATCCTATCTGCAATGGATTCAGGTCAAGGAAAGTGAATCTGATCCTCTAATTAGTGTGGAAAAAGGAACAGGAATCATAAATGAAGGTGTTGCAAAAGCTCCTGTATGGAATTCAAACAAGGACCTGCATGCATGAGACCTTATTCTGGATCCTGATTAATTCATTCACCTTAGATAAAATCTGAGTCTGTAAAAGTGTTCCAGCGATGAAGATGTTGCTGATTGGCCTTAAAGGGTCATGCATGTATTGCATAGCAGGAGATTGGGTATTCAGAGATTACAAGTTGAACTATAGTAGTCCCAGGGACAAGAAAATGCCATTTTATATAAGCAGTTTTGGTTAATAGTTTCTGTATGAATGAGGCATGAAATGGGAAACATACCAGAATTTGATTTGTTAAAGTGTATACTGTTATCAAATACTGAAAAATTTCATCATTGTTATAATCATGTTCACTATGTTATGTATTTCATCACCTATTCAACTAATGAACGCTTCAGGTCCTGGTGTATGCTTCACCTCCTCAATTCTTCAGCGTAAATGGGATGGTAAAGGGCTAATTCGAATCACAACAACATTTTCTTTGGTATTCATCAGGGACTTAATCCAAAATCAGAGTTTAATGGCATTATACAGATTGCATTGATATTGGTGTTGTAATCGAAGTCCACACTTCCGTTGAATACCCAAGATACTATTGTATAGTTGTGATCCCTCTATTGGGATTATATTCAACAAGTGATTGTGCGCTTCTAAATCATTAATAAGTAATTTCTTCAAATCAAGTTATTATTAACAATAAAAATTGGCTCATAACTCAATTTCATAAACTCTTTTTCATGGCAGTTTTTTAGTTTTTTGCGGATAAATTTTGAATTTTGGAAATTCAAAAGCAAAAAATTGGGAGTTGCCACTCAGGATTTATGAGAGAAAGCTTGTCAGATTAGGTTTTAAGTATAATATTACCATGTTATTAAAAAAAAGAAAAATAAAGAAGAAGGTGTTTATAGTGTTTTTTAGGGAAATTAAAATAAATTTTGATTTTTTGAGTTCGACTGTGCAACTTTTGTTTCTGTATTTTCAGAATATAAGTGCGTGACTTAGAACCTGTTTGGCTGAGCTTATGAAAATTAGCTTATAAGCATTTAAAATTTAAGTAATTTCGTGTTTTGATAAGTAGTTGACGTGTTTAGTAAAATGTAGCTTATAAATACATTTTATTATTAAAATGACTAAAAAAGACACTACATTATTAAAAATAAGGGTGTAGGATATAATTTTAAAATTTAAAGGGGTAATGTAGTAATATAATTAGTCAAAGTAGCTTATAAGCAAAGTGGTTATAAACCCCCCCCCCCCCCCCCCCCCCCCTTCCCCCCCCCCCCCCCCCCCCCCCCCCCCCCCTTCCTTCCCTGTAACACCCGCATCGACGTACGTAAACTCATTTTCCTTAGTTGTAGTGTTTATTCTAAGATGAATGCACGAAATTAGCTTGGGGAAAATTTTGCAAACATTGCTGCGACAAAGGGATTTTGTCACTGTGGCAATGTACTCTCTACCCAAATTTGTGGTAGCAAAATGCATGCTTCGCCAAGGCGAAGAACTCCCTGGAAATTTTAGTGAAATTCAGGGGAAAACTTGCTCAGGGCAAAATGGTCTTTCCACCCATAATTAGTTGAAAGTGTGGGAAGTGAAAAGAGATAGATTGTCATGGAGAATGCAATGGAATGAGGACATTATGGTAATTGACAAATGGATATAGATGAAATTTCATAGAAAGTGCAAGGGTAAAATGGGAAGCTATAAGTAATATATGTTATATTAAGGGTTCAAGTATAAAACCCTAGCCATTCTTCCCCTTCCATTCACGCCACTTTCCACCTAAGTTCTCTCAAATTTGTTCAATCACTTTTCAAGGAAACTCATAGATCTTGGTTCACTTTTGGTGGAATTTCAATCCCAAGCATCCCTAGGTAAGATTCTTGCACTAAGATGTGAGATTAATGTTTTGAAGTGTTGATTCTTATGATTTGTATTCATAGGGTTTAAGAGAAAGAGTGTTGTATCAAGGAAGACTACTAAAGTGTTTGGATTTTGGATTGCTCACATCTAAGGTAAGTAAATCTAACCCTAGTCATGATTGGAGCAATATTGTGTAGAAAACTTCTTTTATGCATGTATGTGTTTGTATGAGAATTGTTGATGGAATTGATGTTGAATGATGGTTAGAATTCCACCATGAGAAGTGATGTTTGTGTGGGTGGTGTTTGATGAGAGTTTGGATGAATTAGAGTAGAATTTGTGAAGTGTAATTCTTGGCCAGGTTTGACGATGATTTTAAGGAGTTTGGCTCCAAATTTTGGTGGCTTAAGAAAGATATAGAAATGTAGCCAATTTAGAGTTTGTGTGTGCATACAAATTGTTTGATGAAATGTCAAAGATAAGGGCATGCATGAATATGATTATTTGTTATCTTGAGATGAGTTTGTAGATGGTAGAGAATGACATGTTCGCATGCCATATAACATTATTTCTACTAAACATGTGAATTTAGAAAGCATAACAAGCATAAGCCCACCCACATGCATACATACTCATAAGAGCATTAAAGAGCATTAAAAAACAAAGAGAAAGAAAAGAGGAATAATAAAGAACACTTTTAAAGAAGAGAAGAGAAGGTTGTTGCGATGGGGAACCCGTGAGTGACTAGCCCTGCATGCACGCCACCTTCAGTGAGTGGCCTCAGAATCAGAAAGAAGAATTGTACATCCCGTTAGAAGTGCATGTGGATGAGGACTGTACCCATAAAGAATTAGAGAATACACTCACACGACCAGGGTTTCGAATCTATGCCTCAACCAAGTGCGATCGGCAAGAAAGAATAGAAAGAAAGAAAGAATATAAAGAATAGAAAGAAAGACTAGAAAAGAAAGAAATACAGAGAAAAGAAACAGAAAAACAAAAAAGAAAATGCACATGCTATGCATTTGTGCATATGCATTATATTTATGCAAGATACCATTTCCACTATCCTGAATAGTGAGAAACTAGAGTTATAGAAAGAGCAGAGAAGAATAGAGAAGTTTGATGTAAGAATAAGAGCAATCGAGATAGAAGGGTAGCATAGTGGGTTTACTTACTGAGCAATTATTGCTCACCCCGTTGTTTTTAATGTTTTTGCAGGTAGTAGATGAAATGCGGTTGAATGGAGCGTCAAAAAGCAGAAGGGTCTGACAACACTGTCGAGTTTATTTTTGAGTAATTTTATTACTTAATGTACAATTTTGTATATAAAGAAAAATTAGTATGGGCCCTCTATTTTATCCTCATTTACATGTATATTTTCTTATATATATATATATATAGTGTGTGTGTGTGTGTGTGTGTGTGTGTGAGTTTTACTGTATATTTCCCAAGTATACTAGCTAGAGAAAGAGAAGCATTACATTTTTGGTATCAGAGCAAAGGTTTTGGGATTTGACAGTGTGCCTCTCCCGCCACATTGACGTTCCGTAGCCGATCGTTGTAAGTTATTTCTTTCCTTACTTATAGTAGTAGATGAGTTAATTGAGTTGACTAAAAGTGTTGGTGTTATGTAGATGAGACGTAGAACTCGAGCAGGTAGTAAGAAGGCAATGAGTACGGGTGAACCTTCCAACCCGTCAGAATCTACTCCCCCTATCCTCGATTAAGTGAGGATAGTAATATTATACAACAAGTATTGGGAGAGAATCAGGGGAGAGCGATACCGGAGAGAGTTGAGACTCCAGTTACTGTACCGACCCCTAGAGAAGAGAGAGAAAGGCCGGTACCCCTGATAGTGCAACATCATATTGAGCCAATATATGGGTTGCCTAGTCAACATCAGCCGTCAGAATTCAGGGGTACAATGGACCCAATAGTGGCAGAAGAATGGTTTAGGTTTGTGGAGCGTACGACGACACTTTTCCCTATGACAGATTAGGAGAAGATTCAGTATGCAAGCTTTCTATTTAGGGGTGATGCCCGTATATGGTAGGAATTGATGGAGGATACTAATGATATAGCCTCGATGACTTAAGGGGATTTCAGAAGATTGTTCGAGGCAGAATATAGAACAGTTGATCGAGTTCATGAAAAGACTCAGGAGTTTATTAGTTTGCAATAGGGGACTAGTTCAGTGAAAGAGTATTCTGTGAGATTTAATTCCCTGGCAAGGTTTGCGCCAGGTTTAGTGAGTACATCAAAACTGAGGAGGGACAAGTTTGTGCATGGGTTGAGACTAGAAATAGCCCGAGATGTGATGGCAGGTGCCCAGCCCCCTTAGACATAAAGTGAAGCTTTGGAACGAGCCTTACGGGCAGAAATATTTGTGAATAAATTAACCCCAACCACTCCATCAGCAGTAGCACCTATGTAACGCCGACATTGAGGTACGTAACTTATTTTATGCTTGTTTGCCCTTAGTTAAGCTTATATGCCCTTAGTGTTGCTTGTTTGCCCTTAGTTTTGCTTGGTTTAAGGTAGAGGATTGGCGAAGTTGGGAATTGCAGACTTCGCCGCGGCCAAGAAGAAAGTTCACCGCGGTGACGTATGCTTTGGGATTTTTCGCCGAGGTGAAGAAAAAGCTTTGCTGGGGCAAAGAGCTGGTTGGAATTCTTGAGAAGATTCTAGAGAAAATTTTCTTAAGGGAGAAATGACCATTCTACCCCTAATTAGTTGGAAATGTTGGGAGTGAAAAATAAGGAAATTTTATGGAGAATGCAATGGCGATGAGGGCATTTTTGTAATTGACAAAAGGACAAAGATGGAATTTCTAAGAATGTGTAAGGGCAAAATGGGAAAGTATGAGTATTAATGTAAGATATTAAGGGTTCAAGCACAAAAACCCTACGATTCTCTACACCCCACACGCCACTTTCATTCTCAATTCTCTCAATCTCTTCATCAATTTTCAAGGCATTTTAGAGGACTTTTGGTTGGATTTTGGGTAGATCTTTCTTCTTAAGCATTCCAAGGTAAGAATTCTTTCAAATAGATGTGTGAATAATTATTAAGGTGTTGAATTCTTATAGTGTATATGCTTGGGGTTTTAGAGAAAGAGGAAGTCTACCAAAGAGAGAGAGAGAGGTTCAAGTCGAATTATTCAATTTCAAGGTAAGTAAATCCAACTCAAGTTATGATTTGAGAAATCAAGTGAGTAAAGAATTTTTATATGTATGTATGTGTTTATGTTTTTCAGAATTGTTGATGAGATTGATGGTTTTGGATGAGTAGAATTTAGCTATGAGAAGTGGAAGTTGGTGTGTGGTGATTGATAGAAGTTGGGTTGAATTTGGAAAGAGTTTGAGAAGAGTTATGAAGTGTATTTTCCTGGCCAAGTTTAGTGCTGATTTAAGGGAGTTTTACTCCAAATATTGGTGGCTTGAGAAAGAAGTAGAAGTATAGCTAAAATAGAAGTTGCGTA